GTTTTGTTTTAAAAGGTGAGTTTTGTTTTAAAGTAAATAATATTTTAAAATTTTCTTTAGAATAAAGAAAGAGTAATTAATGAAATTTAAAGTAGTCAATATGAGAAGTAATTGTGAAAGGACAGTCGAGAGTTTAAGTGGCATGGTGAAAACATGTGGGAGCATGCGTAAGTATTGTATGTTCAAAAGCATCCAAAGGCAAAAGTGCACGATGTGACCAAACAGTGAATGCTCTCTCACTTCAAAGGCATTCATGTTGTCCAATCAATAACCTTTTTAGGTGATGGATTCCACCAGGAGAAAAATCCTCTCCAAGGCACCTTCCATGGAGGGGTAAATTGCTGACATGGCTGATTGAGTAAAAAAGGTATTTACTTGAACTGTATATACATACATATGTATCACTGATTTATACAAGAATTTTGACTGAAACTGAAATTTTCCCCCAAAAGTCTGAATTCATTTCCCCCCAAAAGTATTCTATATATTTAACTCTCTCTTTCTAAGATCCAAACTAGAGGAGAAAGTTCCAAAATTCAGCAAAGAAGTAGAGCAAGGAATTTTATGGCAAAGTTACACGTTTGGATTGGATTAGTTTATTTTTATTTTTATTACTTGCAGAACTAATCTATCCATTGGTAGCTTGTTTTTAATTTGTTGGTAGAACATAATTTGTTAGGCTTTCTTATTGTATTATTTTCTTATTGGATCTTTAATGTTTTCCGATATACCTACATCAAGCTTCGACCTTTCAACGGTATTGTCCTTATCAGTGGTGTAAAGAAAACCATTTGGGTCTCTTCTCTATCTTAATTTAAAATTTAAATGTATATTGTGTGTGTGTATATATATTATAAATTTCTATTTTACTGTTTATAGATTCATTGACACTCACAAATTAGGGTCATATATATGTGTGTGTATATATATATATATATATATATATATATTGTGTATAATATATACGTATATTATTTGGGCACTTATATCTTCTGTAAATGTCAGTTATGTTTAGGGTGGTGGTGGTGGTTGTATATGGTTTTCAAGTGTATTTGGGTCTGCATAGTGCATAATATTATACATATATATATATATTGTATAATATTTACATATATAATTATTTTGGGCATGTATATACTCTACAAATGTAAATAGGATCGCCCCTGTGTTAATGTTGATCATTCGTTTCAATGGGCAAGCTTGTTAACCATACGGATATAATTTGTTGCAATCAATTTCAAACCAAATGACTTGTGTGGAAAAAATTTCCGAGTTTCTTTTTATATATATATATATTTTTTCTTTGAAAAAAAAAAACATAATTAGTATACAATTTGTATTGTATATAATGTTGTCTTTTTATTCGAGTTAATTGATTATAATATTGTAAGTCAATACTTTGTATGTTTGTACAAGTTTCTAATGGTATTTTCCTTGAGTTTTTTACTATTTCAAATGAAATATATAATGTATTTGATTATATTTAGAATCAAGAACTTGAATTTTATTTTTATTATTCTTTCCTATCTCTCTCCTTGGTGAATAATATTTTGGGTTATCACGGTTTTTGTATTGCGAATTTTGTATTGTCAAGTTCTCTTTTTGGGTGAATTATTTATTAACAGAAAGAATGACATAGTGTAACATGTAATATCAATCAAACGTAATAACAAACAAACATTATTTTAGAATGACAACACAATTTAAGCATAATATGTTTCAAACGTAAATTATATCTTGCATCCCAAATTACTTGTAACATGTATCACTTTTTATTTTTATATGATTTGTATCAAATATGTAGCACTAATCAAACATAATATTAAACAAATATATCTTCCAGACATCACAACTTTAAAGTACAATGTTTCAAATATCAATTATATGATACATCTTAACTTAATTGTAGCATATATCATTTATGAACTTTATAATACAACAATAATATAAAAAGGAATGGGAGAAAATAAATCCATCAACTTTCTGTTATGAGTGGAAGATTGTTCTATTGTCAAAAGTGAAAACATGTTACACAACTTAAGCGTAACATGTTTCAAACATAAATTATATCTAGCATCACAAATTAGTTGTAACACGTATCACTTATTATATAAATTAATGTCTAAAATATAACGAATACTTACTTATACATATCTTGATTAAACATTGCTATTTTACTTTATTGTTGGCAAATAATTTTTTTTTTCTTCAAAATCAAATTTTATTAATCAACAACCGAAGGGAAGACGATACTTTGTGAAGTATATTTTTTATATGTGTTATGAAAATATTCTGATACAATATTTAATTCATACATGATATATGTTGTAAGAGCTTGTGATTCTTATTTATTGTAATTTAAAATTTTAAATTTACTTATCCAACTAAAATTCTATTATAATTGGGTAAGAAAGTTATTAAAATTCTATTACACGTTTTTAGAATGACATCACAATTTAAACTTAACATGTTTTAATGTTGTTATGTCATTCTGAAATATATTTGTTTGACATTTCATTTAATTCATGTTACTTATTTGATACAAGTCGCAACAAAATAATGTATGATACATGTTATAAGTAAGTTAAAATGTTACATATAATTTAGGTTTGAAATAAATTACATTTAATTTGTGCCAGTTGTTCGTAAAATATGTTTATTTGTGTAGGTGCAAAGACTTGAAAAACTTTGAATAAAATTACAAGAAATTCTAAATCACAATCTATCACTTAAAATGATAAAAGATTTACCTTACCGCCGAAATGTATGGAGTTTTTTCAAAATAGATCTCAATGACCAGAAACTTTGCTATTATGTTCTTTTATAATTTTTTTCCTTTATGTTTTTTCTTAACTCCCATGGTCAAAGTAAACAACAAAATTTATTATCCAAGTCTTCAATCCATTATAAACAATGCATAGTTCGAGGACCATTTATTCCAATGCCATCCAACTAGAGGTTTTCAAAATGAATCTGCAACAATCTCATCGGAGTCAACCCAGATCCAATTCAACCATCCAAAGTCCTCTTTACCCAATTCCTTATAATGTTAATTGAACTTTTGTATTTCCATAATATATATATATATATATATATATATATATATATATATATATAGAGAGAGAGAGAGAGAAGAATTCTTGGGGAAAATTATTTTAGACTTTTGGTTTCGAAAAGGGACGAAACCGATTTGGAGAGAAGAAGAAGAAAGAACAAGAACCAGAGGAGGAAAAATGACATAGTGGGGAAGATGAATAAGTTAAAAGTAATTTAATTTTGACAAAAGATAAAGGTGAATTGGGTCCCACATATAAGTAAATAAAATAATATTGTATATCAATTGTGTATACTGTATATGTACATAGTAAAAGAAAATTTAACAAAGTAACTTTCTTACTTCAGTTGCTGAGGTAGCTCTTAGTAGGTAATGACAAGGCAGTGACTAGGTAAGTGTGGCTGAGTTGGCTTCATGACAACCGTAGGATCCTCCATGGACAGCCTCAGGTGAGAGGTGCCATGGAGAGGATTTTTGCCCATTCCACCCGCTCAACGTAACACCAATAACTCAACATAACACCAATAACCTTTTTGAAAAAAATTTCTTTAGAACATTTCTAGAGTCTTTAAAATTAGACTATATGAATTTATTATATCAACATTTTTCAAGAGTAACTTTAATATTTTTTATAACCACGTCAATATTTTAGATGACGCCTTTTCGCTCTTTAAAAATTTTAATAATTTTTGTCATTTAACTTTTTCGGTTGTTTCATACAAAAAAATAAATAAATAAACAATATAGTATTTATTATGAATTATAAAAATTAAAACAATACAATACGATATGAATTTAAAATATATATATATATATATATGAATTTAATTATAAAAATATATTTTTGTGCCAATATAATCGTTAAGATACTATTTGGGTCAGCCAAACAGTACTTAAAATGGACAACTGACATCGCCAATTTGGGCCCAAAGTCTCTAAAATCACTACCAAACATGCATTAGTAGGCTACCAATCACTAACCCCAAATTTCTCTGAATTGTGAATGATAAGCAATATCAAAATCCTTTCAGCTAATAAAAGTAATTTATTTATATGAAAATAAAGAATGATAAATTAATTAACAAATCAAACAATAAGCTAAAAGACAACCGAAGAACTAAAATAATGTTATATGCGTGTAAGTAAATTGGCATCATTAATTACATGAGACAATTATGTCTTTGGCCTAAACTAAAATATAATGTTCTTTCTTGGGACAATGAGTTTGGGCCAAATTAAAATACAGATTATATGAATACAACTTCAGCACTTTGGAGGATTACGTAAGAAGAACTGGATGCTAAAGAATTTTAGAGAGTTAATTGAAGATTGTGCACTTCATGACTTGGGGTATAAGGGGTACCCGTATACCTGGCGAAATAACAGAGAACAAAATGGTTTCATTATGGCAAGGCTTGATCGAGCTCTATGTACGCAAGGTTGGCTTTCTAAATTCCCAAATAGCTCCGTAACCCATACTTCTGTCTTGGGGTCTGATCACTGTGCTCTACTGATCTGTCTAAATGCACCCGTCCAAAATCACAAAACAATGGCATTTCGATGCAAGATGGGTTAAGTTAGATGACTACAATAGAATTGTGAAGGAAGCATGGGAGGCCCCGGTAGTTGGTTCTAAACAATTTTGTGTGCAAGAGAAACTTCGTAATTGCAAACGAAATTTAAAGAAATGGAGTTTGTGCTTAAACGTCCAAATTCCAAAGAACAAATCAGATCCCTTCAATGCAGAAAAGAAATGTTAAGGGAGAAAGGGGCAGAAGGTACCAGAGAGGAATTATGGCAATTAGAAAAGGAGCTTGGAGATACATGGAGAGATGAGGAACTTTACTAGAAACAGAAATCTCGAATCGATTGGCTTTCACATGGAGATAACAATACTAGATTTTTCCACAGAAAAGCCCAGATTCGTCGGCAAAAAAACACCATCATGGGTTTAGAAGACGCATCGGGCATTTGGTGTGACTCTAAGGAAGACATTCGAAATATATCAACAACATACTTCAAAGACTTGTACAGCTCCTCTCCAATTGCGAATGATATTGAATTTTGGTCCTTGGTGGAAACAAAGGTGACTACAGAGATGAATTTGGAGCTCCTTAAGCCAGGTACTTCAGATGAACTTTATTTAGCTTTATCATCCATGGGAGCTTTCAAAGCACCCGAGCCTGATGGCCTTACCCCTTTATTTTTTCAATCCAATTGGAACCTGGTCTAGGAGGATGTGGTTGCCGCTTTTAATTCGTTTCTTAGAACTGGCCATTTGCTAAAATCCTTGAATCACACAAATCTTGTGTTGATTCCTAAAATTAGACACCCTACAAAAATAGCCAACTTTTGACCCATTGCATTATGTAATGTTATTTATAAGATTTTTTCAAAAACATAAGCCAATCGGTTGAAGAAATTTCTTCTTGCACTCATCACTAAAAATCAAACGGCTTTTGTTCCAAATCGCTTAATTCATGATAATATTGTCATTGCTCATGAGCTGTTGCATGTTCTTAAAACCAAGAAAATGAAATTTAATTTTCTAGCTCTAAAACTTGATATGGCGAAGGCATATGATCGTGTCAGTTCAGTCTCATACTTTTTAAAGATAAATAGGGAGTGTGGGTCTGTTTTTCAACCATCAAAAGGCTTGAGACAAGGTGATCCAATTTCTCCTTACCTGTTTTTGTTTTGCACGGAAGGGTTGTCTCTTCTTTTACAAGAAGCAGAAAGGAAAAAACAAATTCAAGGGTGCAGCTTAGGAAGTGATTGCTCTGCTATTTCTCATTTGCTTTTTGCCGATGATGTCATTTTATTTTGTCAAGCCATTCCATCACAAGCAGAGTCGTTGAAGGACATTCTCACAAGATATGGTCTATTAACAGGCCAATTGGTCAACTTTGACAAATCTAGCCTTTTCTTTAGTTCTGATACACCATTAGACACAAGAGACAATCTTAGAAGGATCTTGGAAATTCGAAATGTCAATTGGATCAACAGTTATCTGGCCTCCCTTCAATTATTGGGAAATCTAAAACTGATACTTTCAATTACTTGAAAGAAAAGGTCTCTGCAAAATCTAAATCTATTAAAGGGGAATATACGTCTAAAGCAGGGCGTGAAACTTTCCTGAAATCGGTCTTTTCTGCTCTCCCTAATTATTCTATGCAGTGCTTTAAGATTCCTCTCTCAACTCTAGATTTTCTGAAAAGTTAGATGATGAAATTTTGGTGGGGAGGCAAGATCGATTCCAATAAGATTCATTGGGTCAGTTGACAGAAATTATGTGAGCATAAATAAGAGGATGGATTGGGATTTCGTGACTTAGAAGCTTTTAATGTTGCATTGCTTGCAAAATTGGCTTGGCATCTCGAAGTGGGCGACGATTCCATGCTTTTTAAGATCTTCAAAGAGAGATATTTTCGCAATTGTAATTTTATCGACTCTCCATGTAATGCTGGATGTTCATGGTCATGGAAAAGTTTGGCAGCTACACAAGAAGTGATTAAGAAAGGTATGAAATGGCAGATTTGAAATGGTATATCAGTTAATGTGTGGAAAGATCCTTGGTTACCAGGGAAAAAGAATTTTAACGTGTCATCCCTTCCATCTGGTAATGATATTCAATTGGTGGAAGATCTTATAGACGGACACACTAGATATTGGGAGCGAGATTTGGTTTTAAATTCGTTCACCCCTCGGGACGGTGAAAGAATTCTCCAAATTCCCATCTCTTTGAAGATACTCAGGACACAAAGATTTGGGGATTGACTGCCGATGGGAAATTTTCAGTTAAAAGTGCTTATTTTTTAGCCTTAGATGTGTTGAAAATATCAAATTCTTTTGCACCACCAGGGGAGGGTTGTAGCTATTCATCTCAGTTGGAAAAAAATTGGAAAGAGATTTGGCGTTTGCAAAGTACTAGGAAGGTGCAGTTCTTTATATGACAATGTGTCCACGAAAAAATTGCCGTTAATTACAACTTGAAAAAAAGAAAAATTAAAACAGAGGTTATGTGTAAGATATGTGGGATAGCAAAGGAAACAATGGACCATCTTTTGTGTTGCTGCAGTTTTGCTCAAAGGGTATGGAAATTAAGCCCTTTGCGGTTGGATTTTTCAAAGTCCAATTCGACAATTTGGCAGATGAGATGGCTTGCCTTGGTTGAACTCTGGAAGACTGGTGATTGTTATGTGGAATGCGCAAGTCTAGCAGCATACATTTGCTGGCATTTGTGGAAGAACTGAAACAACTTCATTTTCTCGTCCAAAATGGTGGATCCTCAAACTCTGGTTGAAAATGCTGTTTTTTACTATCAAGAATTTTCTGATGTCCAGAGACAAAATAAATTGTTATCCATTGCTCCTCATCATGCTCCGCTTCAAAGTCCTCAGTGGAGTTTTCCTCCTAATGATTTTGTCAAAGTTAATGTTGATGCACCTTTCAGTTCTTCTTCAAAATTATGTGGGGGTGGCTATGTTGCTAGAAATCATGAAGGGCGTGTTCTTAGTTTGGGATCTTGGCTATTTCAAGATATTTTTTCACCAGTGGTAGCTGAAGGTCTTTCACTCCGAGCCGTAATACAAGTTTGTTTACAATGGGGCTGGCCTAAAATTATTTTTGAAGGGGATTGTCAAACAATTATAAAGTTGTGCTCATCAGAAGAAGCTTTGGCTACGATTGTTCACGATATCAAGGTTCTTCTTCAGCATGGAGAAGATTTCTCGTTGAATTGGGTTCTACGACACTGTAATAGGGTGGCTCATGAAATATGTAGATGGTCTTTTCTTTCTAATTTTTTTGAGCCTGTATGGTCCTTGGTTCCTGCTTCTGTTGGAGAAGCTTTGCTGGGGGATTTGTGTTGATTTTTCTATTTATTTTCTCTAGTTGCCTTGGAAAAAAAAAAAAAAAATACAACTTCAGCAGATATAATATTTATTATTATTATTATTATTATTATTTGGATATTTTTTTATTTTAATTATGCCAAGATTGAATATTGAAGTTACCTAGTAATTCTTTCTCATGCTGTGATCACGTATTTTTTATGAGAATTACTACAAGGAATAGAGCTTGAAGATGGAGAGAGAGAGAGAGAGAGAGAGAGAGTATCTAGCTATGGTGCTTATAAAATTAAAAATTATAAGGATTGAATTTTAAGTGCGAAATATTTTAAGTGGTGATTAAAGAATAAATATTTTTTAATTTTTTTTTTTGAATTTTCAGCACTTAGCGTGATAAGTGATATACTCCGTATCTGTCATTTAAAAATTTATCTCATTTTAAGTAATCCTTACTGAAATGTTTTCAGTGATATTCAACTTACGTTATTAAACACACTTAATTGAATAAACGCTTAATCCGTTCAGAATTAAGTACTAAATTGAGTTTTTAAACAATACCTATGTCAATTTATCTTGTCTGTCAGTCTCGTTCATTCCCGTCTCTAATCAAACGAATTTGAAATTATCCTAATAAGGCTTGATAAAAGAGTTTAAAAATCAGAAAGTCTCAAGCCCGTCCCGATTAATATTTAATATATAAATAAATATTTTTTTATTTGCTATAATTTTTTTTTCTCTATTTCTTATGATAATTTTAAAATTTAGTAACGTTTTTGTTATTATGATCCTTAAATATTTGACTATACTAAAATAAAATTATAAAATTTTTCTTCAATTTATTTAAGTTTAAATTTACATCTAAAGCTTAGTTCGATCCGTATCGATTACTAATTATGTCCAAGTCCATTACACCGCGATCAATACTATGAATCAGCTTCTGTTCCGAAGCCTGTGACACTCATATAATTATTGAAACACACGAGTAAAGATGTCGCATAGGGACTACAGTATTTCTTTGCATTAAAATTCATGGATAGGCATAGGACTTTAAAGATTCTCTCATGATTTTGTGACTTCTTTGCATTAAAATCCAAGGATAGAACTGTAAGGATTCCGACTATGTAGATACAGACGTGACTATACAATAATATATTTTAGTTTAGAGAGAGAGAGAGTTATTTAAACGTCTGTAATACCATATAGGACTTGATGCAGAACGACAAGCTAATAACTCACTTTCTCTCTCTTTATGATACAAACGTGACTATATAGGACTTGACTATACAGACCTGACTACGTAGATACATGCGTTGTTCATCAACATACCAACCACCAAGAAAACAAGTGTTGCGTGTAGAGAGAGATGGCTCGCGTTTCTAGAAAGAGTGTTTTTTTTTTTCCCGAAAGTTGAAGCTATTATATAAAATAAAAGGAACTGTACAGGGATGGCATTTGGCCCATACAAACCCAAACAATGGGACGCAGAAGAGCCCATAGGCTCAAACGGAAGAATTACATCTTTTTAACAGCCCAAGGCCTAAAATGAAACAAACAACTCCACTATAACGGTCAATTAGCCGTTAATGGTGGAATCAGGCACAAATCCGGTGAGCAAGCTTTAATGGCATTCGAAGCTCAATGGCTTCGAGACTTCAGTCCGGCGGCCGCAGCGAAGGACGACAGCAAGAGGGAGGAAGGTCCCAGTCCTTGAGGATGTGATGAGCAGCGATGGAATTTTTTAAAATCCCCAATTTCAGAATTGAGGTGATACTATTTGAAACCCTCAATCGAATCGAATTTTGGGTTGACCTTGCCCCACGAAAGATACGAGCGTTTCTTTCCTCCCAAATATGGTACACTAGAGCCGCAAGGCATAGCTTTCTAAGAAGATTCAATGGGGATGGAGAGGACCACCGATTACTGAATGTCGACACAATCTCTGGCCATGGAAGGGCTGCAATAGTAATCCTACATTTTGCTTTGAAGAATAACCAAATTGGAGATGTGAAGTCGCAGGAGAAGAACATGTGAGAGTATAATTCCAGGCTGGCATTGCAGAGAGCACAAACATTTTCATGTCTTGCCATTAATCTCCTATCTAGAGTGGGGAGACGACATTGGACAGCAAGCCACATATTGAATCTCATTCTGGGGATGGCTGGAGAACGCCAAACCAAATTAAACCATGGCACAGATGGAAAGGAGGGGGATAAGAGAGCTGCAGTGTGCTTGAGGCTAAACTTTCCTGATGGAGAAGCTGCCCAAATCAACTTGTCTTATGTCATGGATGGGGTAGGCAATGCAAGAAGCTCAAGAATTGCCGCTGAGAGTGATGGAGGGAAATTCCAAGACAATTGGAGATGAAGCAACTGACAGTGAATGTGAGATCAAAACCTGATTCAGTAAGCATTTGTGGAGGGAATCTAAGGCTCAATGGAACAATATGCAGCCAGTTATCAAACCAAAAGTTTGTGGATGTGCCATTGCCAATCTTGTGGTTGGTGAATTTTCTAGCATGGTATCCTTGCTGAAGGATTTTTCTCTAACTCCAGGAACAGGATTGTGGAACCTCCAAAGCCTAAATGTTTCTGCCTTCGATGAGGTATGTTTTACACCAATTAATCCAAACTCTTTCAGTGTTGTCAGCAAGTAGATCCCAAATGTATCTTGTAATTGCAGCATAGTTAGAGGTAACCAAATTAGGGATGTCAAGACCACCTACCTCCTTTGGTCTGCAAATTGTCATCCAAGCTATTTTAGCACTTGTTGATTTCATTTCAATACCAAACCATAGGAAAGCCATGAAGATTCTATTGAGCTCATCAATAACCCCTTTTGGTAGTATAAAAATGCTTGACCAGTAGAATTGAGTTGATACCAAAATAGATTTGATCAATTGTAGTCTTCCTGCATAGGACAGTGATCTTGAGGTCCAGTGTGTGATTCTGTGGGTTATCCTTTCAATAAGGGGTCTGCAATCAGCTACCCTTAGACACGTAGAGATTAATGGAACCCCTAAATGCCTAATAGGAAGGGATCCAGTCCCAATGCCCAACAAATTTGAGATTGCTAATTCTGTGGAGGGGTCAACCCCTGAGAGGAAGATTGAGCTCTTGGAAAGATTGATGGATAAGCCTGACATAGTACAGAAGTGGTCTAGGGCAGATTTTAGGATAGAAACTGAGGTAATGTCACCATGACAAAAGAGGAAAAGGTCATCTGCAAAAGAGAGGTGAGTGATTCCCAACTCCCTACACCTCTAGTGGTATTTAAATCTTGGAGTTCTAGAGATAATATTCTGCACAACTGAGGTAAAAACATCCATAATAATGACAAATAGGAATGGAGACATAGGATCACCTTGCCTTAAGCCTATTTTTCCTTTGAAAATTCCTTTAAATTCTCCATTGATAGCGATAGTGAAGGATGGAGAGGTTATACAAGCTTTAATTAGCTTGATGAAGGATTGTGGGAAGTTGAGATGTGAGAGGCAGTCAAGTGTGAACTCCCATTTCACCGAGTCAAAGGCCTTCATTAGGTCAATTTTGATGGCACACCTTGGGGGAGGGGTGTCTCTATGATAACCTCTTAGGAGTTCATGAGTGACTAGGACTGAGTCAGTGATTTTCCTGCCTTGAACAAAGGCTGTTTGGGTTTGATCAATGATGTGGGGGAGGGCCAGTTGTAACTTGTTGGCTAGGAGCTTTACTATGCATTTGTATATATTGTTACAACATGAGATAGGCATGTAATCATCGAGGGAGGTGGGATTTTGACACTTTGGGACAAGAGAGATGTAGGTAGAATTGGTTCACCTAGCAGTTTTCCATTTCTGAAAAATTCAGAGATAGCTCTAATTGTTGAACTTCTAATAATTCCCTATGCTTGATGGAAGAATATGGCATTAAAGCCATTAGGGCCCGGAGCTTTGTCCCTATTGAGATAGAACATGCAAGATTGTATCTCATGGTAAGATGGGATAGTCTCCACTATGCAATGGAGGTTGAGAAGGATTGACTTGGTGATGAATCATGTGAGCTCTGCCTGAGTGTGAGTAATTGGAGAGCTTGTACCAAACAGCTTTCGAAAGTAAGATACAATTTCCTGAACAACTGCATCTGCATCTTCCAGAATGATGCCATCTGCATTGGTTAAACTACAGATTTTCTTCCTGTTAACTATTGAAACAATGGATTTGTGGAAGTATATTCTCATCCAAATAGATAGGAAAATAACCACAAAAATTAATACACTCTTATCCATCTGCGGATTCAGAAAAAATGAATAATATATCAACTTTTTTGCTCTAAATAGTTATCAAGAGTGGGCAGCTAATTAACTAACCCAAAAAAACAAAAATAAATTATTTCTTTTAGTAGTAATTCTATCAAACAAGATATAAGAAATAAAATTATAACCAAAATAAAAGTTTGCTTTGGGGAGTAAAAAACTAACAAATAGAACAGAATCATGCAAAAAAAAGAACAAATCTTTGAATGCTAAAGAATTTAGCAAGATAAACTACATTGTTAAATTCTTGGATGTATGTTAGATATGAAACCAATGAAGATCGAGAAGAGCTCACCACGAATCGCCTCAGCTGTAGTGGAGTCGCCGCAAGCTTCTAGCCCTAGAACATGAACTAATTTGTGTTTATACTTGTTCTCAAATCAGAACAAGTGGGTGCATTTGTTGCACCCGCTACAGTTCATTTTGGGCCTGAAATAAGATCGGAACAAGCCAGAACACCAAATTGGATGTTCCAACTTTTGGCCCTTTTTTACAGAATGTTCTGTCACTGTTCGAACCAACACAACCCGGCCCAAACCTATTTTGTTCTGAAAATGACCTACTGTTCACATTCTGAAGCATTACAGCACACTACAACACACTTACCAAACGGGGTCTCCTTCCAACCGTTTACAGCATCAACAAATTGAAGTCAGCAAGGAATAAAGATATATATTTTAATATAATGGCACAATTTTTGATGATCGTTACTTAATTGCCAATCCCACTGG